CGTGTGTTGCCTGTGTGACGTGTGTTGCCTGTGTGACGTGTGTTGCCTGTGTGACGTGTGTTGCCTGTGTGACGTGTGACGCCTGTGTGACGTGTGACGTCTGTGTGACGTGTGACGTCTGTGTAACGATGACATCGAAAAAGGATAAATAAAATACAAGGGATAAAAGACACGTTATTTACTACAACACATATAACAAGATGGCCGACGAAAAACAAGATGGCTGCCGTCCTCAAGATGCACCCAGATAACAGGTACATGATTTTTATTTAAAATGTCCATGCCAACGACCACGCCGGATCAGAATCTTCGCAGTTTGCTGGCGTTCGAACCCACGACTTGCAGATCCCTCACAACTCGCCTTGGCTCTAACGACTCGGGAATCAAGATGGCTGTCAGGGCTCTGACTCAAAAAACAAGATGGCGGACTTGGCTCAGACTCAAAAAACAAGATGGCGGCCTTGGCTCCGACTCGGAAAACAAGATGGCGGCCTTGGCTCCGATTCAGAAAACAAGATGGCGGCCTTGGCTCCGATTCAGAAAACAAGATGGCGGCCTTGGGTCTGACTCAGAAAACAAGATGGCGACTTTGACTTCAGCTTATAAAACAAGATGGCGGCAGTAGTTACAACTAGGGAATCAAGATGGCGGCCGAGTTCATTGAGTCTTAAAGCTAAAGGCAACAAAACTTTAGCAGTTACCTTAATATTTAAATCTATTCTATCGGTAAATATTTGAAAAGGATTCTGGATGAGTAGGACAGAGGCCTATGGAGGGAGGCCTATCCCCCCTTTCAGTCCTTCTTTAATACCTCCAAAGAGAGCGATGTATTGCACTTATTAACGTCTTATTAAGTTCGACTTAAGGTACGCATTAAACTAGGCAGATCTTATTCACTAGTTAAAACCTAGTTAGTTAATCATTAATTAAAATTATTTTAACAATTATTCGAGATTGCAGAGCACATTTCATTCAAAAAATAAACGGGGTCAATGTTTGAAAGTGACCAATCTTTTTACCCACTGACGCGCCCTTTATGCTCGGCCAAACTGGGTCAGGATGACCCACACATGGACGAAAAGTACGTCGATATTTGGACAAAATCTAACGTTTTTATTTTTTACACTAAAAATAAAACAACACCAGAGATCTTATTCGCTGCTCTGTGATTTAAATTATCAATTATAATTTAAATTGTATTTTAAATTATTAAATTTTAAATTATGGAGGCAGTATTTAAGATTTGTGAGAACATAATTTGTGAAAAGGAATCATTATAAATAATTATATAAAATAACCAACATCTTGATGTTAACTTCTTGGAAGTTAGCGTCAGTAAAAAATTTGTACGAAAAACGCCATATTTATCATAAAAAAACGTTTTTCTTTCGTAAAAAAAAGTCATTTTTATGAAGAAGTCAGTAAAAATATTTCATAAAATCATTAACAAAAAAATAAAAATATCGAAGCTTATTCGCATTGATAAACAATTTTGTGATCAGAAATACGTGTAATTTGTCCATATTTCACTGAGTGTTAATTGGAATGAAGGCGCACGTGGAGGAGGCGCACACGTGTAGTATGAGGCTCACGTGGAGCACGTAGGTGAGGCTCACGTGGAGCACGTAGGTGAGGCTCACGTGGAGCACGTAGATGAGGCTCACGTGGAGCACGTAGGTGAGGCTCACGTGGAGCACGTAGGTGAGGCTCACGTGGAGCACGTAGGTGAGGCTCACGTGGAGCACGTAGGTGAGGCTCACGTGGAGCACGTGTATGAGGCTCACGTGGAGCACGTAGGTGAGGCACTAAGCTCGTTGACGAGGACAGACACGCAGGGCGCGAGGCGGTCGTCGGTGGCCTCAATGTCGTACAAGAGGCGCTGCACGAGCACCCACGTGTTCCTGCACGCGGGCTGGTACGTGAGGCCAAGCACGTGGTACGTGCAGAACAGCGCGTCGAGGCACGCGAGAGGCTCCGTGAACCTCCACGTGGCCTCTTCCAGGGCCACGAGGTACTGAGGCCCAGGCTGCACCTCGAACATCTGGGGCTGGTGAGGCACGCCGTGCTGGGCACACTTGGCCCCAAGCCGGGCCTGGTGCTGGGCCACCTGGGCCAGGTCCTGCGGGGGACAGGGGGGTTAGATGGCCCCAAACTTGGCCTCAGAATGAGATGGTCCCGAAAGTAGGCCCCAAACTTGGCCCTAGAACAATTGGCCCCAGAATGAGATGACAAAGCTATTTTAATTGCTCTCTCAACACCCAAGAAAATAGGCCATTAAGCTCATTGAGGCTGCGGGGCCACACTGGAGAGGCACCAGTGTGGCCTCAGACGTACCTGGGCGTGCAGCAGGAAGGCCTCAGAGGCCTCGACCATGGAGGGGCGCCAGTGGCCTCACACGTACCTGGGCGTGCAGCAGGAAGGCCTCAGAGGCCTCGACCATGGAGGGGCGCCAGTGGCCTCACACGTACCTGGGCATGCAGCAGGAAGGCCTCAGAGGCCTCGACCATGGAGGGGCGCCAGTGGCCTCACACGTACCTGGGCGTGCAGCAGGAAGGCCTCAGAGGCCTCGACCATGGAGGGGCGCCAGTGGCCTCACACGTACCTGGGCATGCAGCAGGAAGGCCTCAGAGGCCTCGACCATGGAGGGGCGCCAGTGGCCTCACACGTACCTGGGCGTGCAGCAGGAAGGCCTCAGAGGCCTCGACCATGGAGGGGCGCCAGTGGCCTCACACGTACCTGGGCGTGCAGCAGGAAGGCCTCAGAGGCCTCGACCATGGAGGGGCGCCAGTGGCCTCACACGTACCTGGGCGTGCAGCAGGAAGGCCTCAGAGGCCTCGACCATGGAGGGGCGCCAGTGGCCTCACACGTACCTGGGCGTGCAGCAGGAAGGCCTCAGAGGCCTCGACCATGGAGGGGCGCCAGTGGCCTCACACGNCGGGGGTTAGGGGGTGGTGGGCGTCAAGGGGGCGGGGGGCGACAGGGGAGCATAATAGAAGGCATGGTTGGGGCTATTGAAAGAGAGGGGAGTGAGGGGACCAGAGGGAAAAGAAGGTGATGTGGGTCGTATTGGGAGTGCGGGGGGAGATATTAGGTGGAGTGGGGATGGAGTTGGGGAAGTTAGGGGAGTGTGAAGGAGTGAGGGGGAGGAAGTTTAGGTTATTGCAGCAGCGATGACTAGTCATGGCATCTGGACTTAGCGAGACTAAACTGCCAAAATAATGTAGTGCTTCGTCCCCGTGTCCTAAAAGTATTATGTTTAAAGTATTAAGGTCTTGAGTCTAAGTTTACTTTCATGGCCTTCAAATCTTAAGTCTAAGTCCCTTATGTCAAAGTCCTAAGGTCTTAAGTCTAAGTCTACAGTCATGGTCTCCAAGTCAAAGTCCTAAAATCCTCCAGTCAAAGACATTTATCCTTTATATCAAAGTCCGAAGATCTCAAGACCCCAAAGTCCCAAAGCCAATGGACAACACAAATCCGACAATCCGGGTAAAATAAAACAAGGCAAAGCAAGAGGCCCTGGCCCCACTGACCAGCAGGGGTGGGGAGGCCCCCGCAGTTGGGGCGCTGCTGAAGGGCCCTCAGCAGTCTGCTGGCGCAGGCCCGCCACTGGGGCCTCAGACGGTCCCGCTTGCCGGGGTGCATCACGTCGAAGTCCCACTGCACCTGTGGGGCCAACGGGGGTCAGGGACCATGGACGGGGCCAACGGGGGTTAGGGCCCATGGACGGGGCCAAGAGGGATTAGAGCCCATGGACGGGACCAAGGGGGTTAGGGCCCATGGACGGGGCCAAGGGGGGTTAGGGCCCATGGACGGGACCAAGAGGGATTAGGGACCATGAA